AAAAGTAGAAATTTACTCACATTCGGTGGGACCATAAATGGTACTTGCTGGTCATAAAACCTGTCCATGTCACCTGGGTCTTCAAAGAGGCTCCCAGAAAAGGGTCTTCGCTTAAAAGCGATTGTTATATTGACCTCTTTGGGTCTTCTGTTTTATCTAAAGAAGAAGAAAAAAATAGATGAATCACACAGTAGATCTACTGGACAGTCAAGTGTGTCCCACATCAAAACACCAAGCCCTGCATAGAGGCTAACAAAACCCTCAGATCCATCTGATCCTGTGTATTCATCCTCCCCTTCTCTCTCCGTTACCCATCACAGCATCGCTCCTGACAGAGCATATGAGTAAAGACAGACAGGCAGAGAAAGAGAGAGAGAGAGCTGCGTAATGCAATCCACAGTAGAGATGAACTTAAACCTTACATAAGCAAAGCCAACCATCTGTGCCTCTGATTAGACTATGAAAAGAATCATGAACATATTAAGATAAACTGAGGAAAATGGAAAGCATACATTATAAGTGATATCCCACTTATATAAATAGTCCATGAATAAACAATAAAAAATTGAATTGTTGGCCAAGCATCTATTCTGAGGAACACTGGATACTAACTTACTGGATCAACTGCACAGTTGGAAGGGGAGACTGTGAGGACGATGCCAGCATTTCTTGTGATGCTTCTCCACAAAACAACAATTCTTTACTTGATACTTTCAATGTATTTTTTTTGTTTTGTTTCTAGTGTAATTATATATGATTTTATTATTGTTTATTTTTGAAGGTATTTATTGCATTTTTATTATGCTGACCTATCTTGTGAAGCTTAATTGTTAAATAAAAAATAAATTTAAACATGTTACTGTTACACTTTATGATGTGTGTGAGTGTGTATGCATACACACACCTCATAAAAATAACATTATTTTTATTGTATCATTCTGTTTTTATTATTTATTAATATCGACATGCACACCTACAAAATCGTACTAGATGAGAAACTATGTAAATCTAACTAACATATAAAATAAATATTAATGCATTTTAAAATGCCAACAACTTCCACGAGCCAATAAACGACCGGAAAACCTGAGCGGCTTTAAGCGTTCAGGTAACGTATAAATGCAGTTTACACGTAGAATGAACGATACTTAAATCCACAGCTTTGTTAACGTTACTCCAAAAACGTGTGAACAATAAAAAATAAATAAGAATCAACTAAAAAAAAAACACACACACACACAAAATAATGACCAATAATGCTAGTCAGCAACAAAAAATTACTTGAAGTCCCTAGCACATTTTTTTTCTTTTAGAATAAAGAGACTTTTCCAAATACATCATGCATTTTCTGTATTATTATGGGGAAACAAATCTACCCTTAAATTAAATGCTTCAAGTAAATATAAGACTGAACAGGGGTGAGGACCTCCTCCCTCTCTGAGCCCCCTGACGGCCTCTTGTTTTTCTCAATGAAGTGAAACTCGATCCGTGAAGGGGGGAAAGAGAGACCTCCATTCACAAAACCCCACACTGTTCAGGCTGCACCGACCTCAACTAAATGTCAGTAATGCTGAACGCACAAGCTTCTGTAACGACTGCAACGGCGCAAAATATGATATGAAAAACTTCATGCATTAAAATGGTTGCCAAACATTTAGAATAGTACTTTTCAGTTTGTGAATAGAAAAATTGTCTGTGGTTAACATTACTTGAAAAGACTGCTCTACAAAATAAACTGTCAGAAAATTAATTAGTAAAAATCTAAAATAAAAAATGTTAAAATAGGCAATACAACAAATCTATTAGATTCTATTATTTAATAATAATATATCATACTGATGATAAGTTTATTATTATTGCTGTTATTTTATTATTAAATAAAAGTTTTTATTATTATTCTAATTTGTTGTTGAATAAAACAAGTATTGCTAACCATGCACAAACATTAATTTTACTCAAAGTAAAAAAAAAGAGTATTATTATTATTATATCTGCTACACAATGAACTGCACAATCTTGTGATGTGCAAGGGATTTACAATGTATTATTGTGGTCAAGGCCAGATGTCCTAGATTCTATATTTAACAAAGCGGTTTCTGTGAAAAAGAGAGGGAGAGAAATCCTGCGTCAAGTGTGAGGAGGATAATCTTCAAAATCTTTCTGGCTTTCGAGCAGAGCCCACTTTCACAGGAGGACAATGATAGCATGAACAAGATGTGCAGTATGCAGTTACTGGTGTCATTGTTGCTCCTGCTTGACGCTGCTAAAGCTGGGCTTTTCAGCTCTGCCGAGCTGTCAGGGTCTCCTTTTTATAGCACCTTTCACTAATGTGGTGGGATGTGGGAAGGGGGTGACCAAGAGCATATTGTATTTCCACTATTCTGCTTCCTAAATTCTGAGTGGTGGAGACACAGGCATCCGCAGGACACGTCTCTTTGATATCTTACATTTTTTTTAGGGACAAATATTGAAATGATCCGCTATCACTCACTCTGATAATGAGAAGAGATGCCCATGACTGGGTCATTGTGACAGTTCTGGCAGCCTGCCCTTCTCTGGAAATGTGGGCTAATCCATGGAAGGAGAGGTACAGCACATGACAATAGAGTTAAATGAGGGGTGACAGACAGAGCAGCAAATCTGATCCCTACACCGGTATCATATATGACACAGAAAAATCTAAACTTTTAAACCTTGTTATTGTATGTAATCCATGTTATATGATTGGCATGTGCTGAATAACTGAATACACCATTAAAACACTGTAAAATCAGCTTGGTACAGACAGTTAATGAAGTGGAATGAAGGTTAACGCAGCCTCAGGCCACTTGTGCTCTCCCAAAGAGAGACATGATGGGACTTGATGACTATTAATAGTTCATGGAGAGATCATTCCTGCTTCAGTGTCTTTGCACACCAAAGACACGTAGGCTTCGCCCCAGCTCACAGCTTGTTGTGTCATCCGCATTTTTCTTCTAACAGGGCTGTATTTACAAGTGCAGAGGCCACAGAGCTGCCTGATTAAAACAGTCATACAGCCTCACACGACAACCATCTGGTACTGTAAATGACACTGCAAGTGTTGTGATATTATGAATTATCCATGAACATATATTTTCCCATTGATAAGATGTCCTCTTTCTATTTATTTCTAAAGTGTTGCAATGTGTGATACCCCGCTAGTGAAGGGAGTCTTTTTTAGGAATATTCTGTGTTCATTAAAAGTTGAGGGACGAAAGCATTTGCGGCATAATTTTGAGTTTAACTTGTAGTGAAGCTGGATCATTTCTTTAATTCATTTCATGAAACCTGCAGGATTTAATGTTTGGTTATATCACAATAACAGCTTGTATCTGGGGCAATACCTTCCAAAGGCGCACCTATGTACCAAATCAAAATCTAAAGGGTGCATATTATTAGCACCTTTTGAGCATACTCAATTTTGCCCCTAAAAGGTACAATCGTCTTGAGTCTAGAGGAGTCCACAAAACCTCATTACAGATTCTCACTTCAGTGTGCAGGGTCAGCAGTGATGTGGCATACAGTATAATGGGTACAGTATAACACACCCATTACTTTGGAAAGATTGAATTAAAAAATCTGCCAATGTTCTTGCCAAAAATCTTGCAGTTGCAATCATGACTGAAGGTGTTGTCTGAGAGATGGAAGCAAGTGTGAAAGTGCGCTGACATGAGGACTGAACTGTGTGGATCTTAAGTACAGCGCTAAAAGCTCACAGTATTTCCCCCGAGTGCCTCATATCATCAGCACAGGAGCACCGAAATCTGTGATTTATTGTGTGAACTGAAATTCAATCACGTTAAGTAGAGGATTGTGTCAGGCGCCTTTGCCAGATGTGAGTAACCATCCCAGCCGAGCCACCCAATGACCCACACCAGACGCAAAGCTTCAGTCTCTCCATTTATTCAATAAAACTCTTCTGTCCATTAACATGGATGCCAACAGCTTACAAGAACCAGAGTAACAGAGTCTAAGAGGGTCTTTCAAGGGCACGACTCACCCTTTAACCCCATCTCAGTCTGCAGGACTCCTGTCCTTGAACCTTGTTGCCTACCACACAGATGGACTGCTACAAACCACACTAACCCTAAAGGCAGGAATAAGACAGTGAGTTAAACACACATGTAGAACATCACATTCAGGGTTGATATGGGCTCTACTGCATCAGTGGCGCTCATCTGACCCAGCTAAGAATGGAGCTACACTGAGATAAGCCATACTGTCTCTTCATATTTGAGTCCAGGATTCTGGTTCACCATCCTTAAAAATCTTTCCTGATTTGGTCTGAAGATGCCAGGGTTGGGCAAAATTCAGAACTGAAAAAAATGAATAAATAAATAAGTCTCCCTTTCAACTCACGAGTTTGAATTGAAATAGAATTGCCCACGCCCTACACGAATTTGGGATGACAGGAAGAGGAATGTACTGAATTGTAACTCAAAGAAATTCAACAGGCAATGCATCCTTCCTTCCATCCATCGTTCTCTCGGTCCGGGAGGCCCAAAAAACCCTCAAACTTCACGAGGTCTCTGCAAAACTTTCAAAAAAGGCTGTCAAGCTGCAGAGTTATTCTAGTTATACATTACAATTATATGAACTTCTTTGAATTACAGTTCATTTTTAATTCAAAACCTCAAGTTCAGAATTTAAAAAGCATTCTTAATTAAATTCTGAATAGAGCACAACCCTGCAAGAGGCAGAACGGTTTTGACAGATAGAATCGTATTGTTGTTATATGTTAAAAGAGACAGTGATGGGTAGATTTTAGGACAGCTACAAATAATAGATAAAAGCCGCCTAGTCCACAAATGAAGACATATGTGGTGTCAGAGACATCATGGAGCTCATTTGTGATGTGCAGGACATCGCTCTATCACCACTTTTCTCTGAGAGCAAGTAGGCGGGTACGATGACACTAACAAAAATGAGTTATTGCAACACGGCAAAACAGATGTTGACCTCTCGTTTTATTCCCCCTATTTTGTTCCTTCATTTGGGTTCTTTTCTTAGTGACTTGTATTGCAAAAGTCTTTGCTCCAGGCAAAATGCTATTTTGTATTGGTAAGTTAAGGCTATCAGTTATTCACAGAAATGACACAGGAGGTGACATCAGTACGATTTAGAAATGAAACGTGACGTGAATGAAAATGAAACGTTTCCCAAACGTGACATTCCTCAGTTACCCATCGATCAGCATACATTGGTGCCAAACCTCAGTCTACAAAGCCTAGTCCACAAATGAAGACATATGTGGTGTCAGAGACATCATGGAGCTCATTTGTGATGTGCAGGACATCGCTCTATCACCACTTTTCTCTGAGAGCAAGTAGGCGGGTACGATGACACTAACAAAAATGAGTTATTGCAACACGGCAAAACAGATGTTGACCTCTCGTTTTATTCCCCCTATTTTGTTCCTTCATTTGGGTTCTTTTCTTAGTGACTTGTATTGCAAAAGTCTTTGCTCCAGGCAAAATGCTATTTTGTATTGGTAAGTTAAGGCTATCAGTTATTCACAGAAATGACACAGGAGGTGACATCAGTACGATTTAGAAATGACATTTCCCAAACGTGACATTCCTCAGTTACCCATTGATCAGCATACATTGGTGCCAAACCTCAGTCTACAAAATACAAAACAGAACAAAGAACATCCACAGAGGTACTTGTACAATGAACATGCTACTAACTGATTGAGGAAAAGTTCAGTAGATAGATACAAGGGGCCTGGATAGGGTCCAAAAATATAATCATGTGAAACTAATAAAGTAGCAACAATCCGCGTGGTCTCTCTTCAAGCAGACATCTTTGTCTTCTTTGTTTCAATAGGCATGCGGTGGTTAAACTTTAGAGAAAATATAAACAATTTCTATATGTACATGACTGTTTAAAATCATTCTAAACTGTAAAATGAAAAGTAGTTGTAAACATGCACTTGTAACCAAACCGCCAGACTGTCACGCAGGATAAACCATCTGTCCAATGACCACAGAAACAATGGGGCTCTTTTAGCCAAATCCACCATTAACTTCTATGATAAACCGACCCACTGGCTGGAGGTGATGGTTCTGTGGAGGTCTGTTCTGTGGTCATATGGAGAGATTAGCATTTTTAGGACACTGGCGTAGCTTCTGCGGTTCAGTGTTCTTTAAAGGGAACATTAACCTGCGCTCAGTTTCCAAAGCCGACACATGAACTTTAAGTCAATCTGACCCCAGTTCTGTGTATTGGTGAAATGTATATACAGTTCCAACACCCTATGGCACACTGCGAAAGCATCTGATGATCACTGCATGTTGATCTATATCAGGAACATCTGCCTGATGGCTACAGTCAATCATGTGACCCATTAGGTATCACTGCTAATCTCTGATACTATATTAAGATATACCTTTAAACACATTCATATATATGCACACAAGGCTCTTGGATTATACAAATACTGATACATAGTGGGCATCTTTAAATTAAATACTCTTTACGGGCCTTCTCCGAAGGGCTAAAAGATTACAAAGCTCACTTTTTGGATCTTGAAGTCACTGTTGTTGACGGCAACTGTAAGTAACTTCTGTTTTCTGCATTCATCTAGGCCTCTTTCAAACCCGTTTGACTGTCGACCTGAAATTGCGAGCTGATGTTTTCATGCTGCAATTAGGAATAGTGTTTCATGCCCTGAAATAGGAAGCTAAATTTAGGCTCCGTCCATGCAGCAGTAAATCAAACCCCACTGCAGTAGCTTGTTGTGACAGACGGGGACCAGAGGATTCAGTGTTAATACCAGCGCTGGCTCGATTTGAGCCCACCTCTGAATGGAGACTTTGGTTTTTTTCAGAAATGTGTAGCATATTTTTCCTTAAACTATTATTTCTGTAACAAAATATAATATTTAATTTGTTAACATTGGTTAATGCATCAATGAACAATTAATATTTTACAGGATTTATTACTACTGGTCAATGTTAATAATGTATGCAATATATTCATAGATTTTCAGGTTGTATTAATGAATATTGTTTAGCATAATATGAATATAAATGAATTGACAATGAACAATAGCATAAATTTATGGGGTGGAATTGAACTTGGACCAAGCAATTGAGTTTATAAATTAAGGTTAATCTAGATTATTAAAGGCTGTAAATATATTTTCAGTGTTAGCTGTCGACATCTAATACATTAACAAATGTTAACAAATTGATCCTTGTCTTAAAGTTTTACCATTATGTCCTTATTGTTATATAAAAAAATTATTAAAATCGTACTTTGCTGATAAAATGCTTAAAACAGCCTAAACTGGTTTGATGGTCTTAGCTGGTGTAAGGCCTGTTCACACCAAGACGAAAATTCAGTGTGATAAACATTTTAATTTGAATGAACAGCTATTAATGCTTCTGCTCAGATTTAGACAAACATTCACACAGATTTTTTTTTTTTACAGAAATGTCCAACACAAGAAAACCAGCCAACCAATACGATTCACACTTTTTGGTCACATGCCCTGAGTCGCTGCTGTTACATAAAACTCATTTTCTGTAAGCGCCACCTACTGTCATAAAGTTAAGTTGCATTTTTCATTCAGTCATTCTTCCATTTTTCACATTGGTCTGAACAGACAAAGAAATCACATGCGAAAACTGGACCGAATTTCCATGCCGTACGTTCATGTTGGTGTGAAAAGGCCATTACGATGGTCTTCAGCTGGTCTAGCTGGGTAACCTGCAAGTCTCCCAGCCTGACCAGCTGAAAAGTGCCCAAAACCCTCTGAAACTAGCCAGCAGACCAGCATAGCCAGCATAGGCTGGTGTAAGATGTTTTTAATCGACAGGGAAAATCACACAGAATCTACTCCCAAACTTAATGGCACGCTATTTTGATTTGGCTTAAAAAATAAGATAAAATCATCAAATAATTGCACAGATTGCCACATTGCTATGATATAAATGCTAATTGGTCAAACTCTTTTAGTCCACTGATTCTCTAAACTCCTTGCATTTTTGAAAGACCTTAGGTCCATTCTCCATACTGAACGCTAGCATTGTTGTTTTAGAGGGCAGTATGGGAATAAATGAACATCCAGCTAACTGTAACAAAACTTGCACTGGTCAGTTTTGTGGCCTGAGGGTGAACACCAGAACTGCCCAGAGCAAACAACAGAAGCTGAAATGTTTCATCTCATTCAGGCCAGTCTGACCTATCTCTATCAGCAGACCCCCATAAACATCTTATAATCTTATCATAATGGATGAGTATGCTGCTTCATCTCTTTAGTGATGGCATGTTGCAGGGCCTTGGAGAGGCACTGGAATGAGTGCTTTGCATGCACTGATGTATAATTCAGTGAGCTCCTTTAGGAGGAAAGTTTGTTCCCGGGCCCAGTGACGTCCATATGTGCACCACCAACTCTCATGCGAAGAACATTATCATGCCAGGGTGTCTCTTGCTCTCCTTCTCTTTTCACTTGAACACACTTCTTTTCCCTTTATTGGGCGAGTCTCTTCACTTCTGGTCCTCCCTCTCTTTTTCTCTTTGAAATTGGCAGTATCTTCTGATGAGCCGTCTCAAGAGGAGGGAGAGGGCACACAGTGTGATCCCAAGGCAGTGGCCTACTGGTAGGGGGGATTTACTTGGAATTGAGTCATAGCTTACAGGTCACAAGCCTGTGATAAGACGTTCTGGATGATAAGACACAGGAAGTGGTCATGACACTCAGAGAGGGTCCGTTCAACTGGTTCAGCCTATGAACATCTGAATGTGTTGGGAGATGGAGTCCATTAGAGGCCCATTACAGTGTTGTATTTGTATTGATTTGTCTCACAAAAGTGATTGAAAGGTTTCTTCTCTTTGGCTGCCACCTGCCAAAGACGAAGAATTAGCTGAGGAAGGTGGAGATGTTTGAGTGTGTTTGTATGATTGTAGAAGAGTGGTTGAATTTTGGAGTCCCACATCTAGTCCCGACTTCTGTTGCGCTTTTTGAAGAAGAAGAATGTTTTCTGTGGTGGTCCCAGCAGCATGGGAACTTGGTTCTTATGCGTGGTCCGTATCTGCAGGAAAGAAGGCAAGATTATTCTCTGAAGACAACCAAATCTGAACAGTTGGTTAAATCCTTCTGCTTGTTAATTACTCACTGTTTTAAGCAGTTGTCTCGCTCACATTCAGCAAATGAGCTGACAGAAGTCACACATGTCCAGATTAACAGGCACAAATTTGAGAAAGTGAGAGCTGACCTTGAAACTGAAATAACATCCCATGTTCCCCTCTGCACAGTTGGGCAAATTAGAGAGGACTAAAAGCACAGCGGCACACTTTTTATAGAGCTTGCACTGATAGAGATGTATATATAGCGGAGGACATTGTGTTGGCGCTATGTGCAGATGGAAAGCTGCATGTTTATTCCCCTCTCTTAATGACATAATCAGTCAATGGCAGGGTGTGACATGACAGTGTTTTAATTAACAGTCTGCTTGCTGGGATGGGTGAATGTACAAAGCTGCAACAGACCGGAGGAGGCAATTTTCTGAGATGGAGAAAAGGTCCTGCTCTATCATTGAGCATTGGGTGTATCTGACTTCACATTACCTCACATTGGGAACTTTAAAAGCAGAGAATATGGTTTTTATTTAGAATCTTTTGCCACTCGGATGTAGTAATGCAGAGTTATTCTGTTGCAGCTCCACAGAACCAACAAGTACTTGCAAACAAAAAACCAAAACAAAACAAAAATCATCTTGAATGCAGTGTAATTTATTTGAGATAAAAGCATAAAAGAAAATGTAAATTGAAAAATACCAAAAAGCTGATTTGAAGTTTTATCGCCCATGTCTGTGTTATAACTCAACGTGTCAGAAAATGTGCACAAACCACTAGGCCAGGGGTAGGCAAGTTCGGTCCTAGAGAGCTGCAGCCCTGGAGAGTTCAGCTCCAACCCTAATCAAACACACCTGAACAAGCTAATCATTGTCTTCAGGATTACTAAGGCTATAGGCAGGTGAGTTTTGTTTTCAGGGTTGGAGCTGAACTCTGCAGGACTGCGGCTCTCTAGGACCGAACTTGCCTACCCCTGCACTAGGCCAAGACTCCAACATATTTTTAAATTCAACTTTTGGTTTTGGACCAGAGTCCGTTTTACATAATATTTTGGGTTGTTTGGCTCAAAACTCCACTTGGACTATGTTCAGGTTAGAGTTGTGCAATTAATGATGTATCATGACCTAATTGTATTGTGGGTCGGACTCAAATGTACAGACCTTTGGCGTGGAATCAAACTCAGGTTTGAACCAAGCAATTGAGTTGTAGGTGAAATCAGCCTAATAGGCTGTTCACACCAAGCACGATAACTATAAAGATAACGATAAAGATATAGTTCTAAAAATCGTTCTCAATATTAAAGAATAGCATAGTTCACACCACAACTATAACGATAACGATACAGAGGAACGATATCATTGTGATCGCTTTCAAAACTATTTTTTTCCAGCTGATGAACGATAAAACACTGACAGTCAATCAGAATCCATCCTGCTGTAACGAGCTCAAGAATTTAAAGTGGCGGATGCATGTGCGCTTAGAATAAACAGACGATATCATTCGCTGGTGTGGACGCTAATATCATTATCTTTATAGTTATCGTTCTTGGTGTGAATGGGGCTTAAAGGTGCAGTCACATTAGTGAAATGTCTTGTCTTGTTTAATTACAGTGTTGGACACATTGGCTGGTATGGTCATGAAAAAGTCTGTTTAAGATATTCACAATTTTTTTTAAAAATAAAAGCAAAATCAAATGAGCTGACCGTGCATGGAGGCTGCATCCACGGTTCCCCATCAATCTGCATGGGCAGGAGCCGGGACGTCCTGTGGACATAGAGACAAGGACAGAGAAAAAAGACAGAGCTGTTACGGGTCAGGTCACTGACCAGGCAGATCGCGGGCACGAGGCTCCTATACAACACTTTTCCTGCACGGCTCTGAACACTGTGCTCTTTGTTCCCACAGCCCCGTTCCCAGCCAAGCCCCTTACTCTCTAAACTAACACACTCACTCAGTTCAGAACCTCCATTCCCACATACACACAGTTACAAAAAGTTACTTTAGTCTTTTCAGCAGGGCCACTACAAGTTAAAGCAACACAGTATGGGAGAATGACAATGATGAATGCGCTATTAATGCCTATTACGGAAAGTATTAGGTCATGGGCAGAACGGCCCCGTGTATAGGTGAGGAAACATCAGCGAAAATTGTGAATAACCACCTCGCTTCCATTCAGAACTAACTGTTAAGGTCATTATGAGTGTTTAAGTGAAGCAGGCCAAGGCAACACAAACTTGTGAACTAGCACCTCAGAAGTGTTAAGTCTCCACCGGTTCATTAGCATACGTCAGGAGTGTGTGTGTGTGTGTGTGTTTAGACATGCTACAAACATCATTATTCATAAGTACGAGCGGCTCCAGAATGTTAGAGCTGTTGGCAAAGCGAGTGACAGCAGGTCAAAGGTCTGATTTACTAGCTGCACTGGCCAAGAGAGGATGTCCTGCTGAGGGGGATGGGGAAGAGAGATGTTTCAGAGCCATGGACACAAATAATCAGAGTGTTTGTCTATGAGTTGAACAAATACTGAACTTTTAGTCAATGTGAATGTGGACAGGCATGAACTGCTGACCTGATGGTGACACTAGAACACTGTGCAAGGCGCCGCCCAGCGCTCTTGAGACCTGTGTAGATCTGACCCATCTCGATGGCTCCCTCCAAACCCACCACCTCCAGGAGCTGATCACTCAGATCTGTTTTGCCAGAGAAGAAGATACAAATGTTTATGTTTCATTTAAGTATCAACTTTTTCTCAAATGCTTTTCCCCCTAAAATTCCCAAGGAGAACTGAAGGGAGAAGACATTGTTTATTATTAGTTAAATTGGATGGCATGGCTCAGATCATTTGGTCTTGTAAGAACCTGATGACAAATTCATCATAAAATCGTTTGATTGCATATTTTGTGAGCAGTTTGTGATATTAAATGTAAAGTTCATCCAAAAATTAAAATTCTGTCATAATGTACTCACCCTTATGCCATTTCAAAATGGTTTTATCTATTCACATACAAACACTGAGGGACAAAAATCTCTAAGGTTTAATTAAAAATGTCTTCATTTGCATGTCAAAGATGAACAAAAGTCATACAGGTGTGGAACGACATGAGGGTGAGATAAATCATGACAGAATTTCCATTTTTGGGTAACTAACACTTTAAGACCTCTTCAGAAACTCCAAAAGAGAAACATGCTGAGAATACTGGGGGACTGAACAATATGATAACCATAAGATATAGGGAAAAAGTTTCCATTAATTCTCAATGCTCTCTCATTGCTGTCTAGGATAAACAATTGCGATAAAAGAGAGATACTATTTTTTTCTTTGGTAAAGGTGAATCTAAATTGCATTTTTAAAAAGCATATCAATAGCAAACTCTACACAATGGGAAAGTAAAATCAAATTCAGTTTGTAGTATGAGGAAAAAAATGAGCAAATAACTACAGGGGAAAAGGCACTGAGCTCAGTGGTTAAGCCTACTAGTAGACTAAGCTTTAGTAAATGCTTGTGGAACATTGTTATCCCTTTACCCACTCATTAACTTTCTCTCGCTCACACACAACAGGGTCATGGCAGCAAGTCTCCCATCCACACACACACACACACACACTGGTGAAATTACTATATGCCTGTTGCAGAGTAGGAGAATCAGGCCTACTAAATGAGTGATTTATAAAAGCCTCTTTATTTCAAAAAAGCCTAATGGTTAGAGAGTCGGACTCGTAACCCAAAGGTTGCGGGTTCGAGTCTCGTACCGGCAGGGATTGTAGGTGGGGGGAGTGAATGTACAGCGCTCTCTTCCACCTTCAATACCACGACTGAGGTGCCCTTGAGCAAGGCACCGAACCCCAACTGCTCCCCGGGCGCCGCAGCATAAATGGCTGCCCACTGCTCCGGGTGTGTGTTCACGGTGTGTGTGTGTTCACTGCTGTGTGTGTGCACTTTGGATGGGATAAATGCAGAGCACTAATTCCAAGTATGGGTCACCATACTTGGCCACATGTCACGTCACGTCACGTTACATGAAGAAGAGGGTATTACATGAAACTTTATCTCAAGAGTGTGAATGCAGCATCTAGAGCTGATAATGGAACACACAGATCCAGTGCTATTTTAGTATTATTTATATACTATTATTTTTAAAAATATATTTTCAGTTCTCATTTATTTATATATTTTTAGTAATTTTATGTGCTTTTGTCATTTTCATCCAATATTTTATTTTATTTTGGCTTTAATTCAATTTACAAAAATGTTGTTAATAGTAATAGTTTTAAATAGAACCCAAGTACCTCAGAGTCATTTCTTTAAAGATTCCTGGAAAAACTGTTGACAGTATTTAGAGTTCTTGCAGTAACATTTGGGTTTCATTGTCACCAGCATTACCCATCTGAGGACTAGTGCTGAAAACGCTGACATGTTCTAAGAACATGATCCAATGTCCATCTTCATTTGCAAAATAGAAGCAATTAAAATGAGTTTACTAAAGCCATATCCAAGACTGAGAATTCATTCTCAAGAAAATGAGGCATGCTATACTAATATACTGCAATCCAAAAAGCCATGTAATACAAATCTCTCTTTTCTTTCATACTTCATTCTAAAAGTTGACCCACATTAATGGCCTATCAGTGGTAGCTTTAAGCTAGCTTTTCAGCTGATGGTTGCACAACATCCACACAAGCCAGAACTACTCATCAATTCAAGCCAAATACACACCATACAGAGTGATCTAACAAAGAGATGTTTCAAATTTACTCACGCTGGGTCCGCCTATAAAATTCAAAGCTCATCCAGCCTGTCATTAACAAAAAGGTCTCTGATGTGTGACACTGTGTACTTAAAGGCACATCCGCAAACAGCTTATGTTTACTCCCATCAGCTGCCTAGAATCCAGACAGACAGCAATGGTTTGTTTAGATGAGAATGTATGTTGTTTTAACAGTGTAAACGCTGTTAATAATTTCACAATGTCACCTGACAGAACACATGGACACTTTTGACTTTGGCTTTCAATGAAAGGTCAAAATATTAAGATGACAAATACGGTTATCATACTAAAATATTTCGGTAAAACTTTACAAGAAAGTTCAACATGTAAACATTAGTTAATGCATTGGGTATCATGAACGAAAAATGAACAATAGTTTTTACAGCATTTCTTATGAATTAATGTACTATTGCTCTTTGTTAATTCATGCTCATTCATAATTAAATGTTTTGAAATGTTAATAATTCTTAAAAAGTATTGTTTGTGGCACAGTGGTACAAAAAAAATCAGGGTTCCATTAGTTAATGCATTAACTACCATTAATTAACAACGAGCAAGACATTTGCAACAGTATTTATTAATCCCTGTTAACAATTTAATAAAAATAAAACTGTTCATTGTTAGTTCATTTGAGTTCAGGACCATTAAATATTAAGATACAACTTTTTTTTAATAATGTATTAGTAAATGTTGAAATTAACATGAACTATGATTAAATATTTTTGTTAGTTCATGTTAACTAATATAACCATATTATAAATTGTTACCAAAATCTGCTTAGCGTTAATGGCAAAACCCAGAATTAACCTAGACACTGAAAACATTTAATATAAAGATTTTGTCACGGTTCATGGGCTCACTGACTCATTCTAGCCCTCTCCGTGTCATTGTGGGTGTGGGTGTGGTTTGTGTGCTGGTGATCAGCGCCATCAGCTGATTAAGCGCCAGCTGTGGCTTATCAGCTGGCCTATTTAATGTCTGTGTTTTCTGTCCTGTGTTGTCAGATCGTTTCATGTTGTCACCGTGTTCAGTTCGTGTCTCTCTGTTCCTGACCAGTTCCTGGAGTTTCCTTTTCTCCTTGCCGAGGACTTCGCTGCACGATACCTCGACCGTCAGCTGCCCATTGGTGTCCCTGCGCTACCCGGAGTTACCTCCACCCTTCACCTATCTGACTCTCGTCATCTTCCTTGTTGGGTATTGCCAAATAAACGTTGTTTTGAACATTCGCTACTGAATTCTCATTCTTTCTCCCTGACAGAACGATCTGACCACATTATGGATTCAGCAAATGCTACGGATCTGCAGAACTTTATCACACAACAATACACGCATGGATCGTCAGGAGGAGCAGATGCTAGCTACGGGATGGGCGGTGCAAGCCTTGGTAGCGCAGGTGTCCGAGCTCACCACCCAACTACAACAGCTGCTTACCCACTGCGCCACTCCCACCGCCAGTTCCCTCTACAACTACAGGCATATGCTAGCTACGGGACGGGCTGTGCAAGCCTTGGTAGCGCAGGTGTCCGAGCTCACCACCCAACTACAACAGCTGAGCTTACCCACTGCGCCACTCCCACCGCCGGTTCCCTCTACATCTACAGGCATCGGACGTCAGCATGAGCCACGTCTACCCACACCAGAGACATATGCTGGTGAGCCTAACCACTGTAGAGCCTTTCTGACTAAGTGTTCGATGTTTTTCTCTCTCCAACCAGTGACGTTCGCCACAGAACATTCAAAGGTGGCTGTAGTGTTGACACTGCTGTCAGGACGCGCGGGTCTGTGGGGAACGGCGGTGTGGGAGAATAAACATTCCTGTTGCACTTCGTTCCAGGCCCTCTCTCAGGAGATGAGACGGGTCTTTGATCGGGCGTTGACGGGTCGTGAGACCGCACGCATGTTGGCCGAACTACGAATGTAAATGGAACGAAGAGGCGCAGTGGGACATGTTCCTGCATGGGTTGGCTGACCGTATTCAGAAGGAGATATTTGCTATGGAGTTACCCTCTGGTCTTGACGGACTGATCGACCTAGCCATTCGCGTTGACGCGCGTCTTCAGCGGCGTGAGCAACGAGGCCGTTGCACCCTTAGGTCGGAACTTCCTGTTTTCTCCGCGATCACCCTCATAACCTCAGGCAATCATTCTGAGGAGATCACCTTTCTGGTACCACGGGTACCTATTGTCCTTGGTCATCCCTGGCTGGTTAAACATGGTCCCAGGGTGGATTGGGGTCGTAACTCCATATCGGCGTGGAGTGAACCTTGTTATGCTTCTTGTCTGCTTGTTCGTCTGTGTCTTCTTCTTTGTTGCAGAATGAGCCGGTGAATCTGTCTAACGTGCCCGAGGAGTACCTTGACCTGAAGGAAGTGTTCAGTAAGTCCCGGGCTGCTTCTCTTCCTCCGCATCGTCCCTATGACTGTGCCATAGATCTAGTGCCAGGTACGTCTCCGCCTAAGGGCAAGTTATATTCGCTTTCTGTTCCAGAAAGGGAGGTCATGAAGAAATATATTTCTGATTCTCTAGCTGCCGGGCTCATCCGGCCCTCCTCTTCTCCCGCTGGGGCAGGATTCTTTTTCGTGGCTAAGAAGGACGGTTCTCTGCGACCATGCATCGATACCGGGGGCTGAACAACATCACAGTAAAGAATACTTACCCTTTGCCGTTGATGTCGTCAGCTTTCGAGCGGTTGCAGGGGGCGTCCATCTTTTCCAAGCTAGATTTGCGTAATGCTTATCATTTGGTCCGCATAAGGGAGGGGGATGAGTGGAAAACCGCGTTTAATACCCCCAGAGGGCACTTTGAATATCTTGTTATGCCCTTCGGGTTATCCAACTCCCCCGCGGTTTTCCAAGCACTTGTGAATGACGTGCTGAGAGACATGGTTGATCAGTTTATATATGTCTACCTGGATGACATATTGAT